AGTCGGAGCTACCAGTTCACTCCCAGTTGATAGTCGGAGCTACCAGTTCACTCCCAGTTGATAGTCGGAGCTACCAGTTCACTCCCAGTTGATAGTTGGAGCTACCGGTTCACTCGAGCTGATAGTCGGAGCTACTAGTTCGCTCCCAGCTGATAGTCGGAGCTACCGGTTCGCTCCCAGCTGATAGTCGGAGATACCGGTTCGCTCCCAGCTGATAGTCGGAGATACCGGTTCACTCCCAGCTAATAGTCAGAGCTACCGGTTCGCTCCCAGCTGATAGTCGGAGTTCCCAGTTCGCTCCCAGCTGATAGTCGGAGCTACCGGCTAGCTCCCAGCAGGTAGTCGGAGCTCCCAGTTTGCTCCCAGTTGATAGTCGGAGCTACCAGTTCGCTCCCAGCTACCGGTCCGAATCGGTAGAATCCCACCCCTGCACTTTAGAGGTCAGACCGTCATTTTTAATTGTGCCAGAGATGGAACTGATCATTCCTATCAGTCTCAAAAGCACCAGCAAGCCCTAAAGTTCCCCTCTCATAAAAGACGGAAATCCATTAGAACCTGCCTAGCATTTTTCATCCAGCAGCTTCTCCCATCCTTCCAGGCAACCCTGCTTTCCTTAGACTCCACCTGGCAGTCGCCTAATATTTCCTATTAGACCAGGGGCTCTCCAAACTTGCCAACTTTAAGACTTGAGGACTTCAACCCCCACGGAACTCCCCCAGCTGGCGTAGCTCTCTGGAGAGAAGCGAGCCTTTGAAGGCAGCCTCTTCTCCAGTGGTCTGACGCAGGAGCCTCCAAGCGTAGCTAGCCAGGGAATTCTGGGAGTTGAAGTCCACAGGTCTTCAACTAAAGCTGCCAGGTTTGAAGACCCGCTGTGTCAGGGGGCTGCTGTCAAAGGCTCGCTTCTCCCCAGAAGAGATAACCAGAAGACATGTTCTATCCGGGCGGGTGCATGCATATGGCGGGTGCCTCTCCTGTTGATGTGACGGCTCTTTCTCCCTCTCTTCCTGCTACCCGGCCAGGGAACCTGCAGCTCTCTCCCGTGGGACCTGCCAGGCCTGCCTCTATTGAGCGCGTTCAAGGTACCAGCGGCGCCATTGGCCTCAACCTTGCTTGTGGCACCCTGCAAAGGATGGGCAAGACTCATGCGCACCAAGCAATAGCAATAGCACTTAGACTTATATCCCGCTTCACAGTGCTTTTACAGCCCTCTCTAAGCAGTTTACAGAGTCAGCCTCTTGCCCCCAACAATTTGGGCCTTCATTTTACTCATCTCGGAAAGATGGAAGGCTGAGTCAACCTTGAGCTGGTGAGGATCAAACTGCCAAATTGCAGGCAGGCAGCCGTCAGCAGAAGTAGCCTGCAGTGCTGCCCTCTAACCACTGCGCCCCCGAGGCTCTTCCAAAAATGAGATACAAAAATGTGTATCTCCTGTTAGGTAGAGCTGCAAATGGAGCGGCGGGTGTGGCTTGAAATGTCTGGAATGAAATAGATGGGAGAATGGCATCTGTCATTCTAACTAAGGGGCAGGGGAAAGTCTCCACCTAGTGCTAGCCAAAAGAGGGATTGCCTCT